CTCCATTTATTTAGTGTTTTTTTTTTTACTTCTTTCATCCGAGTTTATAGTTTTCCTGATGTAGAACTTGTACATATTTTATTAGATTTATACAAAGTATTTAATTTGGGGGAGGGATGCTAATGCAACTGGTATTGTGTTTTTAATTTCAAATTCCACTTTTTAATTGCTGGTACATAGGAAAGTGATGGACTTTTATATATTAACCTTGTTTCTTGCAATGTTGCTATAATGGTTTATTAATTCCAACAGGTTCTTTTGGTCAAAAATTTTTTGAATTTTCTACATAGACAATCATATCATCTAGGAGCAAAGTTTTATTTCTTCCTTCTAAATCTGTATTCTTTCCCTTTTCCTGTCTAGACCTTAAGTAGGAACTGGAAAGGAGAGGTGAGAGGGGACTTCTTGCCTTGTTTCTGATCCTAGTGGGAAGTCTGAGTTTCTCGCCATTAAGTACGATGCCAGCTGTCGAGTGTGGGGTAGATGTTCTTTATCAAGCTGAGGAAGTTCACCTCTGTATCTAATTTACTGACTTTTCCCATTTTTTTAAATTGTAGCAAAAATACACATAACACAAAATTACCATCTTAACTAATTTTTAAAATATGTTTTCATTGATTTCAGAGAGAGAAAGGGAGAGGGAGAAACATCAGTGAGAAACATCAATCAGCTGCCTCCTACATGCCCTCTACTGGGGATCAAGCCCCAAACCCAGGCATGTGCCCTGACTGGGAATCGAACCATGACATCCTGAGCATGGGACAATGCTCAACCAACTAAACCACACCAAGCAGGCACCAACCTATTTTTAAGTGTACATTTTAGTAGGGTTAAGAATATTCACATTGCTGTGTAATCAATCTCCAGAACTCTTCATTTTGCAAAACTGAAACAATTAAATAACTTTCCATTTCTTCCTCCTCCAGCCCCAGGCACCCACCATTCTATTTTCTGTTTCTACAAACTTGAGTCCTGTAGGGACCTCATATAAGTGCAATCACACAATATTCGTCTTTTTGTGTCTGGCTTATTTCATTTAGCATAATGTCCTCAAAATTTATCTAAGTCATAGCCTGTGTCAGAATTTCCTTCCTTTTTAAGACTGATTAATTCCATTGTATTTAACTCTTCTTAAAATTTCATTCCTGTAACTTGCCCGTTCGTATCCTGTTTGTCCCTTTACTTTTGGTTGGCTCTTTTTCTTGCTCATACTTGGGAGGGTTTTTTTGTTTCATTTTGTAATGGAATGCTTTGCAAATTTGCGTGTCATCCTTTTGCAGGGACCACACCAATCTTCTCTGTATTCCAATTTTAGTAGGTGCTGCCAAAGCGAGTATGGGAGTTCTTTCTTAAGGCTCACTCCCAAAAATCTCCCTACCCATTAAACAGTTATTCCATGTAGTAGCATGTGGTGCTTTTGTGTTTGTTTGTTTTTTTTTAATAGAGAGGGAGAGAAAGAAGAGAGAGAGAGAGAGAGAGAGAGAGAGAGAGAGAGAGAGAGAGAGAGAGAGAGAGAGAGAGAGAGAATCATTTCCTCCCATAGGCACCCCGACCTGGGATCCAACCTGAAAACTTTAGGTGTATGGGGTGACATTCCAACCAACCGAGCCACTAGGTCAGGGCTGTATCTCTTTCTTATGGCTGAATAATACTCCATTGTGTGGATGGACCACAATCTGTCTTCACCTGTTGATGGACCTTGGGGTGGTTTCCATCTTTTGGCTATTATGAAGGGTACTGCTGTGAACATTCATGCAAAATATTTTGAGTCCCTGTTTTCAACGGAGTCATATGTAACTATTTAACTTTTTGAGGAGCTGCCAAATTGTGCTCCAATGTTAACCATCTTATGTTCCCAGCAATGTATGAGGTTGTTCCAGTTTTTCCCCATCTTCACCAACACTGGCTATTTTATTTTTTGCCACATCCATCCTTATGGATGTGAAGTGGTATCTTGTGGTTTTGATTTACATTGAACATCATTTGATTTGTTGGACATCTTTTTATGTGCTTGTTAACTATTTGTATATCTTCTTTGGAGAAATGTCAAGTCCCTTGCCTATCCTTTTTGTTGTTCTTGAACTGTAAGAGTTCTTTACATATTCTGGATACTGGGCCTTTTTCAGATATATGGCTTGCAAATACTTTCTCCCGGGTTGCATGTTGTCTTTTTGCATATCGCCTTTAAAATACTTTTTAAAAATTAAATTTATTGGGGTTTAATTGGTTAATACAACTGTATAGATTTCAAGTGTATAATTCTATGATACATCATCTGTGTATTGCATTATGTCCACCACCCAAAGTCAAGTCTCCTTCTGCCACCATACACCCCACCCCCTCTACCCTTCACCACCCGCTCAGCTCTCTTTCCTTCTGGTAACCACCATACTGTTGTGTCTATGAGTTTTATTAGTTCATTTGATGCTTTCAATTTTATTTTTTAAATATACATATATATTTTTTATTTCAGAGAGGAAGGGAAACGTCAATGATGATAATCACTGATTTGCTGCCTCCTGCATGCCCCCTACTGGGGATCGAGTCCACAACCCAGGCATGTGCCCTTGACCAGAATCGAACCCAGGACCCTTCAGTCCACAGGCTGACGCTCTATCCACTGAGCCAAACCAGCTAGGGCAGATGCTTTCAGTTTTAGATCCCACACGAATGAAGTCTGCATATCCCTTTCAAATTGTATTTATTAATAATATATCTGTCATCACACCTCACAACTTCAAAAACTAGAATAGTGACAGTAATTTATATCTACCTGAATCCCATTCCTCTGCTTCACCAGATCAAAGGTAACGTATCAGTCTTCTGAATTTTCTGTCTATATTTTGCTTACTAAATAAATGCAGTAGTGTCTCCCTAGCCACGCTTTCTGAGGTCTGTTACCTGTGGTCAACTGCTGCACAAAAATATTAAATGTAAAACTCCAGAAATAAACAAAACATAGTATACAGGGTATTCCCCCAAAATGTATACACACTAACAGCTGATAGCTCAATTTTGAAAATGAAACGCATTTTAATAAACACAGCCTTTATAAATATTCAAAGTGTATATGTTTTGGGGGAACACCATAAACATAGGATTTGGTACAATCGGTGGCTTCAGGCCATCTGCTGAGGATCTTGTATAAGGGGGAACTACTGTAGTTCTACTAGACAGAAATTTATGCCTAAACAATACATCATTTTGAGATGCTCTGAACTTTATAAAATTGTCAACAATTTTACATGATGTTTTTCCAAAAAATTGTACCAGTTTACACTGTCCCCAGTAATACCTGATTCTTATTGATCCCACTTGCTTTGTCCAATGTATTTATTTTTGCCAACTGAATGGGTCTAAAATGGTATCTGTCTTGCTTGGCATTATCCCGATTATGAATGAGATTGAGTGTGTCTTCATGTGTTTATTGGTCATAAATGTCTTCTCTTCTGTAAGTGTGCATTGTGTCTTTTCCCCTATTCTCTCTTTAGGGTTCTGCTTTCTTTACTGACTTGTAGGCGTACTAGGGAGCGCTGGACGTCTCTAGAGACAAAGATGAAATCACCCGTCCTGCCAGTGAAAGCCCAGCGCCCCTCACGGCCTGTGCCACAGCAGCTCCCCTTCCCTGCAAACACCACCACCAGAGGGCGCCGTCACCGGCACTTTTGCCAGGATAGCTGGTGAGAAACAATTTGTCATTTTCATTTGCACTTAAAAACATGTTGAGCATCTTTTTTATTTGCTTCAAGGCCAAATTGCACCTTTCCCCTGAGTAACCTGTTCATCTTCCCATGGCTCCCTCCTCTGAGGATCTGCTTTTCTCTCTCAGTATTTACTGTAACATTCCTATTTGATAACCCTTTTATACTCCGTTTTCCCCCTTTGCCATTTCTTAGTCTTCTCTCCCTTCCCCCACAAGGTCCTTCCACCTCACAGATCTGACACTTCATCCTCTGAGCTCCAGGCCAGCTGCCTCTGCTGTCAGCCCACTCTCACCAGGGCCTTTCCCACCCATTACCCCAATGTCCCTTGTTCCCCTACTACCTGCCCCGCTCCTCTCTGTTCTTCCCCCTCCCATCTTTCTAGCCCCTTTCCAGCATCCTAAACACCCTTTCTCTTGAATCTCTTTCCTCTCCCTCCACCCTCTCTCAGTGGAGACAAAGCAGAGACCTTCCTGCTCTGCCATGTGTCTGTCCCCCCTCCATTCTCGCCTGCTGGTCTGCACAGAAGACCTGCATGCCTCCTCTCTTCTGCCTTCCCACTCCAGTCCCTCGGCCGTCTTCACAGGGTGTCTTCTCTTGCCTCTTCTGTCCCTCTTCCACGGCCACCTCTCCTAGCCATTTCTTCTCTCAGATCTGCTCCTCTCTGCTTCCCCTCAATGACGTGCCCTCCGTCTCTAACCGTTTCCTCTCCCCCTTGTCCCCACGCAGTGCCCTCCTCTGCCATTTCCTACTTTAGTTTCTACAACTCTTCCTTTTTGTTGTTCTCCCGAGGGCAGCGTGTTCTGGTCCTGCATGGGGCCGGGCTGGCTATGATTTCGGGGTCTGGGACAGTCAGCCTGCCTCCGCTGGGGAAGACGGGGCACCTTCCTGCAGAGCTCTGGAAGAGAAAGTGACCTCACCCAGGTTAACCCTGGGGAAGCCCCACTCACGGGCCCTATTTTCCTGTCTCCAAGGAGGCCCAGAGGACCATGAGGGTGGGGTTCTGCCAGCACTGAGCAAGAGCTGCAAGGATAGGGATGAACCTCCCCTTCGCCCTTTAGCTTGGCCTCTGACCTCTGTGACCTCCAGCTGTAAGCTGGGCGAGCAGCTAGCTGAGGGCTGCTCTGGTGGCAGGAGGTGGCTTCCGCTCACAAGCTGCCTGTTGTCTGGGTCTCGTGGGACTGGGCGTGTGTCTTGAGGTGGCAGCGAGTGTCCTGTCAGTGGAGTATGTAAACAGAGTCCTGGCTTCCTCAGGCCTTTGAGGAGCTGTGACAGGGACACAAACTCTGAGGCAGAGGATTTGGCTCTGTTCAAGTTTTATTGTACCCCTTACTGCCTGGGGATGGCTCTGGTGGGCTGCAGCACCCTGCCGCTGCCCACCCCCAGCTCTGTCTAGTGGCCCGAGGGGAGGCGGGAGGGGAGGCAGAAGGAAGGGGCTGGAGACAGATCATCAGCCCTCCTCCCACCCTGGGGTGGGGCCCTCTCTGTCTCCACAGAGCTGGCCCAAAGGCCACCAGTCCAGGCACCCCACAAATCCAAGGCACTGGGGCAGCCCTCACAGCCAATCCTCAGCCAGCTATGAGGCCAACATGTGCCCATTGACCAGCCGCCCCGCTGCCCGGCTCCGAGGGCCATCAGTGGGGACTGCATGGGGGCCTTGAGCTGCTCCATTCTTGAGCTGCGGAAGCTCCTCCCCTTCGCTTGAGGCCGACTCCTCCACATCACTGCGAATGTCCTTCTCCATCTAGGGAACAAGGAGTGGGCACAAGGCTCGGCTGGGGCTCCAGGGTGGCATACAGGAGCCCACCCTTGCTCGGCCCTACCTGGCCTTTCTTTATGAAGCTGTGGATCATACGAAGGATGAGGCAAGACCAGAACACATGCAGCAGCTGCAGTATCACCAGAAGCGAGTTGAAGAAGTAATAGCCGAAGAAGGGGCCCGAGTTGGCAATGGACTCGTAGTATGTGGTATAGAGGATCCTGGGGCAGGCAGGTAGGCAGGCAGGAGGGAGAAGCTCTAACTTGTGTGACCTTCCCTACTCCAGAACCTTTGATGGTTCCCCGTTGTCCCCAGGGCATTTAAATGCCCCCCCTCACTTGGTTGTGAGCAGGTCACACAAGTTTACCAACTGGCCTGTGCACAACCATGAGCCCCAAGGGAGCAGCACTTTGTATTCCCACTGCTCTGCTGGTGGTCTTTGCACACCTTTCCTTCTCTTCTCAGGCCCCTTCCCCCCACTTCCCGCCCCCCGTCCCCAGGCTTTCACCCACCGCCAAGGCTCCCCTTGACTGGCAAACACCAGGGGCTCCAGCATTGGGACTCTCTGTCCATACCTGGTCCCTGGATGACCCTGTCCAGTCTCATGGGGGCAAACACTGAATATTCATCTCTCTCCCAGTTGGTGTGCCCACTGTTTCCTCATGTCTTTTCTGGGGGTCCTTGGAGGCCCCTCAACCCCAACACAGCCAGAGCTGAACTCCTAATCCTGACATGACAACTCTGAGCTCATAACCATCTCATGACCCCGAGTCATCCCTGAGTCCACCCACTTCACCTGCGCTGGTCCGGTCCCATCATCGCTCACTTGGATCAGGGCAGTGGCCTTTGCCCTGGCTCCCAGGCTCCTGGGCCAGGATTGGGATGGGGGGTAGGGGTCAGGGTGTTGGTTCCGGGGCTCTCAACAGCTGTTCTCTCCGCAGCCACCAGAGGGTGCCTGTGAGCATCTGAGTCAGGTCCCCTCCCTCCTCTACTCAGAATCCTTCATTTCACTTGGGATAAAACCCGTCTTTCCCAGTGGCCCATAAGGCCCTGCACAACCTGTCTAGTCCCCTACCTGCCCTCACAACCTCCCTCTCGGTGTCTAGCTCACTCTGCTCCTGTCACATGGGCCTCCTTGCTGCTCAGGCCCAGTCCAGCCTCAGGGCTTCTGCCTGTGTTGTTCCCACTGCCTGGAGCGCTCTTCTGCTGTGGTCAGCACGGCCGCTCCCTCCCTCCCTCCCTCCAGTCTTCCTGCATGAGCGCTGCCAGTGACCCCCTGACCGTCCAACGACCCACACACTTCCGTGCCTGACTTTACTTTCTCTTTCTTGTCTACTGGTTTGCCTTCTTTATTTTTTCCCCCAAAGTCAGCTCCACGTGAGCAGAGATCTTTAGATTGCTCCCTCTGCGGGGAGAGGCTCAGCAAATACACTGGGCAGACTTGAGTGAGCTGGTGACAGACCCTGCCATCTGTTCCATGTTCCAGGCACACAGGGGATGAGGACTGAGCCCAGTGTTCGGTCTCTTTTGCCTCTGGCCCTTAGCACGTGCTGTGCCTGGGGCTGGGAACACAACACCCTTCTTTGTCTCCTCAGGGAAGTCTCCCTGCCAACACCCCCTGCTCCCTGGGTCTGGACGGGGGTGAGGCAGGCCTGGATCCCGGCTGCGCCCACCCACCTCCCCAGCCCCCCACTAGAGGTCTGACTCACTGGGTGGGGAAGAGCACGAGGCGAGTGTAGAAGAAGACCAAGGAGAAGATGAGGAAGAGAGTGTTGCACACTCGCCGCTGGTGCGTGTAGTTGAACATCTTACAGGCCTGGGGAGACAGCAGAGAGGACTCAGGCGGGTGGTAGGGAGGGGAGCCAGGTAGGAAGGGGTGAGGCCTCTTCTCAAGGAAAAGGTGCCGTGGGGCAGAGCCTTATCTCCAGGAACTGCCTAGAAAGGTACAGAGTGGGTCTCTGAGCGAGAAGCTTCAACTACCTGAAAGAGGGTGGGGCCTCACCTTCCAGGAATCTTAGGGGGTGGCCCTCACCTCCTAGGAAGACAAAGAGGGTCAGGGACACGATTCCTAGGAAGCCTGGATAGGGCGGGGTCTCCTCTCCCCGGAAAGCTGAGGGGGCGGGGCCTCACCTCACCGGAAGACTGAGGGGCAGGGCCCCATCTCCAGGGGCACCTGGGAGGGTGGGGAAGGACTGCTGAGAGGGGTGGGCTGGGCCCACCTCCAGCAGGTAGTCTGCGGAGTCATGCAGCAGCAGCACCAGAGAGCCAATGCGCAGCAGGTTTGCGCTGTAGGAGAAGGTGATGAGGATGATGGTCACGAGGTGGTGCGCCACCTGTTCCTTGAAATCCTACGAGAGACAGTGGGTGACCCTGGGACAAGGCTGGGTGGCCAGAGGGCCCTCTAGGGGACTGGTTGGCACCATGCTTCCTGCCTGAGGTACCAGAGGGTCTCCAGGTCGGGGGAGGCCATCCCTCCAACTGAGCTGGATCCCGATTCCCCCAGGACTTTGCTTCCCCAGCGGGAATCTTGGCCGGCCCTCACCTTGCGCCTGATGTCGAAGGGCAATGTCATCAGCAGTGAGATGTAGAAACTCAGCTCGAGGAGGTACCAACAGTACAGGGCTGGCTTCAGGGGCTGAGACAGGGTGAGTGGGACAGGGTTAGCTGAGGGAGAACTCCCTCAGGGCCCTCCCCAATTTGCTCAAAACCAGGACCCTTGAATCCCAATAATCGAAGAGGTGTGAGATCCGTATCCCTGGAGATAACCAAGGGCACCTCCTGCTCCAAGTTTCCTGCCTCCTAGCCCCTCTGCATTCTGCAGGGGAGGCAGAAATAGACAGACAGGCTTGGAGGGGGAGCATACTGTCGTGTCCAGGTGTGGTTCTGCTGCCTTTGGCCACAGGGACTCTGACTACCCCAATCCCCTCTCCAGCCCCCAGGCACCCCTGCCACTCACCTGGTTTGGGTAATTGTCCCAGCACATTGCTGGCCTCCACAGCCATGACTCCTGGGAGGTGGGGAAGGGGGCGGGTGGGGGTGGGGAGAGACACACACACAGACGTCTGAAGCTGCCCAAAGATCAGACCCCAGCTCACCACCCAGGCCTGGGACCTCCTTGGCCCTTGAGATGCTGCTGTCACTCAGCTCTGATCTTTTTTTCTTTTTAAAAAAATACTTTTACTGACTTTTAGAGACAAGAGGGGGAAGAGAAAGAGAAACATTGATGTGAAAGTGGAACATGGGGTTGGCTGGCTGCTTCCTGCACACACACCTCCTGCAGGGAATTGAGCCTGCAACCTAGGCATGTGCCCTGACCGGAGTCAAACCAACAAACCCTTGGTGCATGGAACGATGCCCAACCAATGAGCAACCCCAGCCAGGCTACTCAGCTCTGACCTTTCCCACCTGGCTACCTCTCCGCTCTCACTCTAAGCCAGGGCCTCACTCACTGCCGGAGCCCAGCCCCAACCACAGTAGGTCCCAACAGGCTCCTGTTGAGGGAACATCTACCATGATGTGAGCCAAGTTCTCCCTCCCTCTCCTGTGCACAAGCCTTCCCCACTGCTCACACCCCTCCACACCCCCTCACCCCCAAGCCAGGCCCAGTGCACAGTAGGTGCTTGTGGGACAGGTGGAGGGACAGGAAGCAGTCAGAACACTCACGTGGTAGAGGACGGAGAGGCCACCAATGAAGGAGCACAGATAGAAGAGAAACCTCCAGCTGCAGACAGACAGGAAGCCCCTGAGGCAGCTGCTGACACAGCAGACCCTCCCCCTCCCCCAAACCCCCCAAGCCCTACCCCGGGCTGACCTGGCTTCACAGAACTTCTTGGTCAGGCAAGGCCGGTCCTGGTTTCGGCGTTTTCGGAACCAGCGTTGGGTCTGCCGAAGCGTGAGGCCACACTGCGTGGCCAGGACAGCCATCCGAGGCTGGGAAAGGGGTGATGGGGGCCAGGGTCAGAGAGATGGCGTCCCATTCCTGTCCCAGGAAAGGTGGGACCCAGCTTTGCTACTCCCTCCCCTGCAGCTCCAGACCTCACCTGTGGGGCTGTCTACCTATGGAGATAGGGGAGTTGTGGGGTATGGGGTAGGGCCCCCCAAACAGTCAGGCCTATGAGAACCCAGCCCTGCTCACAGGACAGGCAGATGACGGATGGGGACTGGGATTAAGGAAGGGGCTGGGGTATGAGAGCAGCTCTCCACAGAGGTTTTCCTGTACCCCTCCCTATAGAAGAGAGCGTTCTCAGCCCTACTCCAGGCGGGCAGTTAAGACCTAGTCCTGACCCCTACGTGCAGAGGGGGGCTGGGGTCACAAGGCTCTCTATTCTGCAGGAGCTGAACCCCCTCCTCCCCCCAGGGTAGGAAGACCTCTCCCTTCCCTCTTCCCCCTCAGGACCCAGCCCAGACCCTGTCCAGGGGGCAGCTATGCCATGGGCAGGAACTGAGGAAGAGTCATGACTGCAGAACCCCCAGAACAGTCAGCCCTTCCACTCTTCCCCAGAATAAGAGAGAAACTCCCCTCCCCTCACCCTCTCCAGGCCCAGGAGCTGCCCACTGGTCAGCTGAGCTCACTGATAAGGGACCGGATGGAGTGGGAGTAGGTGAGGCACTGGGGTGGGGGGGCGGGCGGGGCTGCCCTGGGCTTTCTGTCCCCAAGAAGTGGGCTACATACCATTCCTAGCCCCATCCACACTGCAGCCACACAGGCAGATGGAGACGGAAGAGGGTATCAGGAGTCCTCACCTTGTCGGGTCTCCATCCTTCCATGAGGAAGTGTTTCTCCAGTGTGGCGTTGGGTTCTACTGGCCTCCTGGCCTGATGCCGCACACCCAGCCACCGGCTCAAGGGCAGGCCGATGAGTCTGGGTGCAGGGGACACAGGGCTTGTCAGTCCAGGTGAGAAGGGATATACATGCTACAGGCAGGGAAACTGAGGCTCAGAAGGGGCAGGTCATACCCTGGGACCCTGGAGGATAGCTTGGCTGCTGCATTAAACTGAACATAAGAAAAGTAGCTGGACTGGTCTTCAGAATTGGGGTGTGGTCAATTTTGGGGGTACCAAATCACCTTCATTCAATCTAACCCCAAACCAGGGGTCAGAGTCCCCTCACTGCCTGTCTCATGGTGGCCTCATCCTGGTCTGGCCCCCACCAGGCTGGGGCTATCCCCCCTCTCCCACTCCAGGGTGGACACTTGGAGGAGCTGGACTCTCATCAATCATCACATTGCCCACAAAGGGGCTCCTAAGCCAGGAGTCGGGACTGAATTTCATACCTATCATTCTAATATCGAGGCTTTATTGAGGAAACAGGCTCAGAGCAGCCCTGCAAGGGCTGACATGTGCTGAGTGCTTACGATCTGCCAAGCACATGCACTTAACCCTATTGTCGTCATCCTCTGTCCTGATGGACAAAGGCTCAGAGAGGTTGGAAATGTGCCGAAGTGACACAGTGGGTGGAACACCTGGAATTCAAATCCAGGGCTCACCTTCCCTTACTGAAGGGGAGAAGCCTGCCTCCCCCCCACTCCCACTGCCCTTTGGCAGCAATTGACGCCTTTGGGACCGGGATAACACTTTCACCTCAGTTGGGGCCCTCAGTTAAATATGCAAACCTCCCTTGGGGTCCAGTAGCGAACCTGGGCACACCCCTCTGGCACTTCCCACCCCTGTGGGAAAGCAGACCACCCATCAAGGACTGGCTAATTGTGCCTCCCAGAATCCCTCAGGTGAAGCCTCAGTCTCCACTGGCCAACCCACTGTGTGACCTCAAGCAGGTCACCTGACCTCTCTGTGCCTCCATTTCTTCTGTAAGATGGGGATGATAATAATAGTACCACCTCTCAGGGCTGCATTGAGGGCAAAGTGGGTTAAGACACAACTGCTTAGAGCAGCGGTTGGCACAGAGTAAGTGCTCAAAGGGTGCCTGTAAGATAAATGCATCAGTGGGTCCCCCGTGTCCAAGAAGCCCGTATCCAGGAAGCTCCTTATGCGTAGAAGAGAGAAAGCGAGATGCAGGATGCCTCCATGTCCCTGTGGTCAGGGCTAGACAGAGGTGGAGACCAGAGTGGCTCAAGGGAGTTAGGGCTCTGTGGTGGGAGGGGCAGGGCAGACTTCCTTGGGACCCAGCCTTAAAGGAACTGCAAAGGGGTGTGTGCAAACCAGGAATGGGTGTGAGAAGTGGAGGAAGTGCATGTGGAGAAAGGGGAGAGAGGGACCATCCCCTGGCAAGGCAGGTCTAGTTGTGATCACAGCACTGGTCACACGGGAAAGGGCGGGACTACCTGGGACAGGGGGAGGGAGCCCAGGAGAAGGACACCCAGGGAAAGAGGAAGAAACCCAATTCTGAGCAGCGTCTGGGTCATCTGAGAAATGACTGAAAATCTACAGGGTTTGGCAACCGGGAGGGGCTAGTGCCGGCTGCAGGAGACTGGGGGTGAGTGGAGGGAATCCCAAAGGGGAGGCCAGGGGAGGCCCACGCTCCTTCCTTTGGCTAAAAAGGGGAGTAGGGGGAGGGGTGATAGAAGGAGCAATGGGGAACCAGAGAGAAGTGGTCAGGGTGAGGGACTGGCTTGCCTACAGAGGAAGAGGAGGAGGGAGTGGACAGGAGTTTCTCTGACTGACTGGCCTCTGCAGACGTGTCCTTGGTCAGCAAGTTGGGCATATGCCCACCCGTTTTCTGAAGATGCTGGCATAGCCAGACTAGAGCTGCAGTCAGTGTTGCGACAAAACAGCCATCAGAGACCAGAAGAAACGTGGTGGCAGCTAGGGGCAGGATGGAGTAAGGGGCAATTTGGTTCAAAGCCAGAGACACTTCAGGACAAAGCCCCGCACAGGGTGGTAGCACAGGACCACAAGACACTCACCTCTCGAAGGCGAAGCGCATGACTACCAGGACCAGTGCCAGGGGCAAGGCTGCCAGCAAGTCCTGGGGGTGGGCATAGACCAGGCCATCCCGGTCCTCTAGGTCAGCCCATGAGTTATTGGGAGGTAGCCAGAAGCGGTCCTGCCACAGCCACTCGTTCAGACTAGACCACATCCTGCGGACAGACGGTAGGTTAGGGGGAGCTCACCGGTAGGGTGGGTGAAGCTGGAAGGCCCATCACCCGGCCCTCACGCCCCCAGCACCTGCAGTCCGGAGTTTATTACAGCCAGTGTTAGGAGAAACTTGGTCTGTGCGTCTTCAGACAAATGACTCGATCTCTCTGAACCTCAAGTTCATCTGTAAAACAGGGACAGTAATACCCACCTCTCAGCTGGGCCTGGTTAGGTACACAAAGTGCTCAGCCTGGCGCCTCCTGACCTTTAACAACACGGCTCATGACAGCAGTTATTATTCTGCACTTGACAGACAAGACGATGATGGCCAGAAGTTAAGGAAGTAGGGTCACGACCTCATGCTGTCAAATGCCCGGAAAAGTGGTTTTGGATGCAGCCCAAACACCAAAAATTTAAGGAAATCTGTAAGTCCCTCGCTGGCTTCCCTTCCCAATGTGGACTGCCCATGAGGTATGAATGTCACTGTCTCATTCGCTATCCCAAACCACGGTGGCAGCTGGGTGAGAGAACCAACAGCAAGACCGAGCTTCCTGGGTAACGGAGCAGTAACTAAGGTGAGTCAGCTTTCCACCAGGGGCTATCACGGGACCAGCCCCATCTGCAAACCCCGCCATCTTGAATAGCTCACAGTTTCTCCCTTTCTCAAGATCCTCCTGCCTCCCTCTTGTAAGGACCCCTGAGGTTACTTTGGGACCCATAGGGAGTCCAGGGTCATCTCTCATCTCAAGGTTAGCCTGTTAGTAACCTTAATTCCTTCTGCAAACTTACTCCCCTTTGCTATGTGAGGTAACATGCTCCCAGGTCTAGGGATTAGGACATGGACATCTTCAAGGGGTGCTGTTCTGCCAGCCACATAGCCGGCCATCAGGAGAGTGGTGGCTCTTAGGGACAGGTAGTGACCGGAGGGGCCTGCAGAGGGCTGGAAGGTTCAGCCCTCAGTTAAGAAAATTCACTGAGCTGTGCGTGTATGATGTCGGCCCTTTTCTCTGTGCAAATGAAAACACTTGTATTTAAAAAGTCCATACAGTTCTGCCCACCTGGCGTGGCTCAATGGTTGAGAGTCAACCTATGAACCAGGAGGTCATGGTTTGATTTCCAGCCAGGGCACATGCCCAGGTTGCGGGTTTGATCCCCAGTAGGGGGTGTATGGGAGGCAGCCAGTCAATGATTCTCTCTCATCATTGATGTTTCTATCTTTTTCTCCCTATCCCTTCATCTCTGAAATAAAAAATTATATATACACTAAAGGCCCGGTGCACAAAAATTTGTGCACTCGGGAGGGTCCCTCAGCCTGGCCTGTGCCCTCTTGCAGTCTGGGACCCCTCGGGGGGATGACCACCTGCTGGCTTAGGCCTGCTCCCTGGGGGATTGGGTCTAAGCTGGCAGTCAGACATCCCTCTAGCAGCCAGGGAGCCCTCGGGGGATGTCCACTTGCCAGCAGGGAGCAGGCCTAGCTGCAATCGGACATCCTTAGCACTGCTGAGGAGGCAGGAGAGGCTCCCACCACCACCGCTGCACTGGCAGCCATCAGCCTGGCTTCTGGCTGAGCAGAGCTTGCCCTATGGGAGCACACTGACCACCAGGGGGCAGCTCCTGCATTGAGCGTCTGCCCCTGGTGGCCAGTGTGTGTCATAGTGACCAGTGATTCCCAGTCGATCTGCTGGTAGGGTCAATTTGCATATTACCCCTTTATTATATAGGATAGAGGCCTGGTGCATGGGTGGGGGCCAGCTGGTTTGCCCTGAAGGGTGTCCCAGATCAGGGTGGGGGTCCTGCTGGGGTGCCTGGCCAGCCTGGGTGAGGGGCTAAGGGCCGTTTTCAGACTGGCCACACCCCCTTCAGGGAGTGGGGGGGGGGGGGGTGTGGTCCTGCTGGGGTGCCTGGCCAGCCTGGGTGAGGGGCTGATGGCTGTTTGCAGGCTGGCCAAGCCCCCTAACAGGGACCCTCACCCCATGAGGGTGTGACCATCCTGGGTGAGGGGCTGATGGCTGTTTGCAGGCTGGCCACAGCCCCCAGCCACCCAAGCTCCCAGTGGAGGCTGGCTGGAAGCCGGTCTCTGGTATTTATTTATCTTCTATAATTGAAACTTTGTTGCCTTGAGCGGAGGCCTCAGCCGGTCAGGGCAGGCAGGAAGCTTGGCTTCCTCCATCGCCAGGGCAACCAAGCCTCCAGCTTGTTCTAGCTCCGTGGCTGCCGGCCGCCATTTTGGTTGGGTTAATTTGCATATAGTTGCTCTGATTGGCTGGTGGATGTGGCTTGGGTGTAGCGAAAGTACGGTCAATTAGCGTCTTTGTCTTTTATTAGTGTAGATATATTTAAAAAGTCTACAAATCTGATTTTAGGTCTGACATGTGGGTTTTCTACCCCCACCAGCAAGCAAATCTGATACCACCTAACTGGAGACAATGTCAGATCCCACAGGTATGGACTCTGTCCTGCAAGACTGCCTCTCCTGACTTCACCTGGGCTTCTGACTGACAAGGGACTACATATCAGAGGTTGCCACCATCCCATTCTCGGGTTTGATGTATTTGCTAGAATGGCTCACAGAACTCGGAGAGACAGTTTACTTGCTAGATCACTGGTTTGTAAAGGATATAGCTCAGGAGCAGCCAGATGGAAGAGATGTGTGGGGCCAGGTATGGGGAAAGGGCACAGAGTTCCATGCCCCCTCCAGGCATCACCACCCCCAAATCTCCATGTGTTCACAGCCTGGAAGCTCTCTGAACCCTGTCCTATTTTTTTTTTTTTAATGGAATCTTTACTACACAGGCATGATTGATTAACTCATTGGCTATTGGTGATTGATTTAACCTTTAGCCTCTCTCCCCTCCTGGGAGGTCCTGGGGTGGGACTGACACATAGTTGGGTCCCCTGACAACCAGCCCCCATCCTTAGGTGACTAAGGGGCTTTCCAAAAGTCACCTCGTTAACATAATAAGATAACTTTATCCATGTCAATTCCCACAGTGTTAGGAGCTCTGTGCCAGGACTGGTGACAAAGACCAAATTTGTATTTATTATTATTAATCACAGTCTCACAAGTGAAATACAGAAAAAATAAAAATTCTTAAGAGACTGAGGAAATGAGTGAACCAGGATGGGTGAGAGGATTTGGGAGTAGTTGGGTTCAGTGCGAAGACAAGCTGGGTAGGGGTGGGAGAAGGCCAGGCAGGACTCATGAGTGTGTGGCCGATGTTTAAATCTATGGGCATGGATGGAATTGCACGTGTGTGAGACGGGGTGTGGATAAGGAGCAGCCCCGACCACACCGAGGCACCCAGCATTCAGTCTTCAGCGAGGGATTAGCAGTGACCACTGCCACTGGACACTCTGGTGGGGGAGGGGTGCCAGAAGGCAGTAGCCTGGGAAACAACCAAGGATGTGGGGCACTGACTAGTTTATTTTTTTACTATTATTTTTTAGAATTACCTTCCTGAAACTTGCATTTTATTTATTATTTTTTTATTTTTAATATATTTTTTATTTCAGAGAGGAAGGGAGAGGGAGAGTGAGAAACATCAATGATGAGAATCAATGGTTGGCTGCCTCCTGCACGACCCCTACTGGGGATCGAGCCCACAACCTGGGCATGGAATCGAACCACGACTTCCTGGTTCATAGGTCGATGCTCAGTCACTGAGCCACACCACTGGGCGCAGTGACAGTTGCGACCCACGAGCCTCAGATAATCCAGACAGGACAGACAGACGGAAAGGCACCTGCAAGGACTTTTGTCCAGGTCAGGGGTCCTCAAACTTTTTAAACAGGGGGCCAGTTCACTGTCCCTCAGACCGTTGGAGGGCCGGACTATAGTTTAAAAAAAAACTATGAACAAATTCCTATGCACACTGCACATATCTTATTTTGAAGTAAAAAAACAAAACGGAACATATACAATATTTGTATTTGCATGTGGCCCGCGGGCTGTAGTTTGAGGACCCCTGGTCCAGGTGGTTGATCTCTAGCAAAGAAACCATCTTCACTAGCAGGAAAGCTGGCTGATCCCATGTACCCACTGGGGCACAGGGCACACGCCCTTCCTGGACTTCCTGGCCTCACACATCCACCGCAGGACATCTCCAGCCTCTTCCTCAGGAGCTGTCACAACCATCCGATAAGACACCCCCCACCAAGAGCAGATGGGAGTGGGCTAGGAGTCCAGGTCCCTAGCCCCATGTTCTTCCCCCACCCAAGGGGGCCAGATGGGGTCCACTGAAGCCAGGGTGCTTCAGAGATAAGGGAAAGCACACAACAAGGGCATCTCATAACCTCAGGCCTCTGCTGATGTGTGCAGCCTCAAAGTCCACCACTCACTGCCTGACCCTTTGCTCCCATCACACTGTAAAATTCCACACACCCAGCTTTACAAATGCTGCCCTCTGCCTGGAAGGCCCATAGAATGTTTATTGCCCCAGGCTGGGTGCTGAGGACATAAAATGGTGGGGAAAGAGGGCAAGGTCTCTGTCCTTGCAGGTTGTTTAGTTGTCACTTCCTCCTGGAGGCACCGCCCGACTACCCCAACCTTGGATCCACTTAAAGAACCTCGCCAAGCCCTGCCTGGCTCACTGTGGTGTTGGGAGCTAGCCAGGCAGTCTTTCAGAGGCGGTGAGAGGTGAAGAAGGAGAACCAGCCTTAAACCCATCCCCTCAGGTGAAGCAGGCCCAGCCCTTTCTGGCCCCAGAGTCATTTTGAAAAAGTACGTTCCAAACCAGAGAGCCCTCCAAGGTGGCTTCATACCCTACCCTGACTGCAGAGGTCTTGGCCCTGGAAGTCCTACCTCTCTCTAACCTCAATGTCTGTCGTCCCCCCACCCCCCTCCCTCACCCTCTCGATAAAGAAGAGACATCAGTTTGGGAAGAGAACAGGGTCCGGAGCCCAGCAAAGTGGCCAAGTCCCAGGTCCAATGCTCCCAGTCCAGGGGCCTCCATTTCTTCACCCACCTTTGGTGGGTCAGGTGCCTGACACACAGGGTGGGCTCAGGGGCGGCTGTGAACAAGCATCTATAGTGAGCAAGGCCTGAACTTCTCTTTCACTCCCGATCCCCCGCCAGATGCCCTCTTCCCCAAGGACGGGAGGAAGTGGGGTTCTGGGTGGCACTCCTCCTCAGTCTTCACCTTTCCTCTTTTGGACGCCTGCACTGTGACCCTCTGCCTCCTTGGG